AACTTAGATAATGTCATACATACCACCCCAAAATATTGATTGAATTTCTATATATCAATTGACTTGTGTATACATTCGATTCGGATGTACGACCAACTGCTAGTGTTCGATGGTTTTATCCAGTTGTAGATAGTATAAGTCTAAACCAGTGTTTAAGAAACACAATTTTAATGAATAAGTTGGTTAACTGATTTAAATTATGTATGTGTTTCGTGTTTTTCTCTAATACAAAATCCTGTAAAATTGTAGTCTTGCGACACTGCGAAAGCAACAGCATAAATGCATGTATAGAAAGTTTATTTAGTAACTTTATGTGATATTAACAGTAATATAATTGGATACATTATAAATCACACGTCGCAGTATTGCTTGATTGCTCAGAGTCAATAGCTTTCTACATTTTTGGAATCCTGCAGCTTGAACTGTTAAGGAACCTTTCTGAGACGAGCAATGAAGGATTAGTTCAAGCTGAAGAATACCGAAAATGTAGTTGTTTTGTGGAAATCCGGGATTAAAAAACTTAAAACATAAGCTTAGTTTCATTCCACTGCTCTACAGCGAGTAATATGATTACGTTTCAATCGTAGACATTTATATTTTAAAAGAATATAAAGATGTTGTTTTTAAAAATTATGCAAATATTTGAATATTTTAGATGAAAATCTTAATTATTTTTATTTTATTTTTACAGAATACAGAACTTCAGAAAGTTTCGCCTTTTCTACATAGTTATTTTGTTGTGAATTAAACAACTATTTATTTATTTGGTTCTGGAGTGCTGACACCTGCAAGAAAAAACAATCGAGATAACGGCGAAAATGGTTTTAAAAGAAAGTTTATAACTTATAACTTAAAAAAAGTTTAAAATTATGAACTTAAAATATAAGTTTAAAATTTAAAACTTACAAAAAAAGTTTAAAAATTAAAAACTTAAAATATAAGTTTAAAAATTAAAACTAAAAAAAAAGTTTAAAATTTGAAACTTACAAAAAAAGTTTAAAAATTAAAAACTTAAAATATAAGTTTAAAA